ATTCGCCTTACTGCCCTCATATGTTCTCCTAACCCGAGTCTGTAGCCGTTTGCCGGTCTCGCCAATGTAGTTGGCTTCGCAGGAGTTACACCGGATCCGGTAGATGACGTTCGTGTTTTCACCTAGTGGCAGAGGGGTCTTAGGTCTCATGACCAGATGTCGAATTGGCTGAATGAAGGCAGAATAAGCCCGAAACAGTGCTGTATCAATCTACCCGCATTCTCTGTCGTCCCTCCTCGCTGCTATTATGACTTGGTCGAATTCGGCCTGGTAATTGGTTGCCTGTTCGTGACCTTTGCCACACATACGGAGCTTGTTTGCTTTGTGAAGCCAATAGACCGGTGTGCGCCCATTCCTGATTGATATTATATATATATATATATATATATATATATATATATATATATATATATAGGCAGAATAGCATTACCGACAAAGACAAGGGAGACTGGAATGGCCATTTCTGGCTTATTAGCCGTCGTCAGCCAGCCATACCCAAGCCCGAAGTGCGGAACACCCGAGCCTCGAACTCGCGACCTGTTGGTTTATAAGTCAACGCCTCTACTCACCGGGCCACGAGCCCGTTACCTTGTCGGTTTTCAATCGGGAATATACAATGTTAGGGGGCGCTCACCGATCGTTCATACGGAACTCACTCGTTCCGTTGTGCCTTAAGGGCTCTCTCTCGAGCCCAACCAGCAGCCGCACAGCGGCGCATGATATATAGGCAGAATAGCATTACCGACAAAGACAAGGGAGACTGGAATGGCCATTTCTGGCTTATTGACCGTCCTGAGCTAGTCTTAATCAACCCCGATATGTGAAACACTCGAGGCCCGAACTCGCAACCTGTTAGTTAGAAGTCCTACGCCTCTAAACACCGGGCCATGGGCCCCTTGCCCTGTCTGTTTCGATTGGGAATATATAGTGGTAGAAGGGCGCTCACTGATGGTTCCTACGGGACTCTCTCTATATCACCCGCCACTGTGCGGCTGCTGTTTGGGCTTCAGAGTGAGCCCGTAAGGCAGAACGGAACGAGTGACTTCCGTAAGAACAATCGGTCTGTGCCCCTCTACCATTGTATATTCACGCTCAAAACCGACGGGGCAACAGACCCGGGGGCCAGTGGTTATAGGCGTTGGACTTCTTCTAGCCGTTCGTGAATTCGAGCCCCAGGTACTCCACACTTATATGCTGGGTATGACTGGCTGAATACGGCTTATAAGCCAGAAATTGCCATTCCAGTCTCCCCCGTCTTTGTCGGTAATGCCATTCTGCATATACATATGCACAGTGGGTGAGTTAACTCGTGAAATATCAACTGAAATTCTTAAATGCGTTTCCTTGTCGAAAAGATTAATTAAATAATGATGTCATGGTGATCACGTGCATGATGATCACTCTGACAGAATTATTTAATTAATCTTTTCAACAAGAAAACGCATTTAAGAATTTTGGTTAGCATTTCACGAGTTAGACCACCCTAAGCACAATTCTATAATAATTTGGTTACCTTGGGAGGTCGGCTTTCGAGCGAACGTCTCTCCTGTTGCATGCAAAAACTGTAGTCTGTAAGAAATGACTACTTATCTAGCAATCCGTTTTCGCATTGATTTTCGATGTCCTTAAAAATTCAATTATATTTCGTGAAAAAATGCAAAAATGTTCCTTCTCTTGCTCATTCGGTAGAACTCTTTGTCTGCTTGCAATTTTATACCCGGAGGAGTGGTTTAATATGGTTTTCAAGATCTTTTTCCCATTCTCGAATATATCGAACCCGAGCTGCCGTTACACTAGCATTCAGTGTTTCCGAGCTACAAGCCGTATATTTTCCGCGTAGGGAAACCATACATTTCTCTATGGTATTAAGATGAGACTATATGGGGTTCATAAAATTTAGCAATAGATTTGATCCATATCGTTAACCTTACAAGCCACATTGTTAAAGGCAGAGACATGACTTTTATGAACGGCCATTTCACGGTATTAAATATTTCACAATTGGAATCTTTTCTGAAGTTGAATAACACTGAGACAAGGGAGACTTCTGAGGTTCAGTCCCTCTTGTCTTAGAAGAAAAAGAAGAAGAAGAAGAAGAAGAAGAAGAAGAAGAAGAAGAAGCGATCGCTGGAATAAGGTCTTTATTAGCCTGACGTTTCGGATTCTCACTTGAATCCATCACCAGAGACAGTAGCAGACAAGGGTGACTCGTGCACAAGAAGCTGCAGTATTTATAGGACGCAGTCGCTATGCTACCGCATACCTATAGCAATTAACCGCGCTCCCCTTCATGAAGGATCGTTGCCCGCTGGTGCGCTAATTGCTTGCTGGCCGACATGCAAGCTGTTAATTGCCGAAATGTCATCACCCGTGTTGGATGCTGGCGTGATGATTGCTCGGCCATCTGGCTCACCGGCTTGCGCGCGCCCCCAGTGGTCAATTACCTTGGCCAGCCTATGCCTCAGGACAGAATATGGAGTGGGGATGTCGTTGCACTTGCTGATAGACTGAGGTCCCGTGAACCATGACTCAAGCAACTCGCGGCTCACGCGATTATCCCCTCTCGCGAGAATTTCGGCCTCATCGAACTTGAATGTGTGGCCGGGTCTCGTCGAATGGGCCGCGACCTGAGAGTTGGCGTCATTTCTCCGTACCGCTGCCGCGTGTTCGGCAATTCGCGTTCGGAGCAGTCTTCCAGTTTCGCAGACGTAGTTGCTTTGTCCGCAACTGCGCCAGTTCCGGTAAATGACTCCGGACGTTTTATGCCGTGGCAGTGGGTCTTTTGGTCTCATCACCTGACGCCTCATGGTGGCCTCCGGTCTGTGTGCAACTCCAACCCCAAGAGGTGCAAGAAGGCGGCTAACGGCCTCGGAGACTTTCTTGATGTACGGGATCGCTCGCCAGAATTTGGGGTCGGTACGGTTTTGTCGCTCGTCTCGTTTGCGCATACACCGGTTGACGAAGTTGCGCGAGTAACCATTTTCTCGGAAAACCCGTTGAAGATATTGGAATTTGGCAACCTTGTCTTCCGGTTCACTGCAGTGCGTCTCAACACGCCGATATAGCGTTCTTACGCAACTGCGTTTGTGGCTGATTGGGTGGTTACAGTTGAAGTTCAGTATTTGCGTCGTGTTCGTCGCTTTTTTGAACACTTTGGTCTTTTGGCCACCACAATCATTGCGGCAGAAGAGGACATCAACGAATGCCAGCTGGTTATTTTCTTCCTCCTCCATCGTAAATTGTATGTCCGGGAAGACGCTGTTGAGACGTTCTTTGAACGTTAGCACCTGATCCCGTTCGATGACGACGAAGGTATCGTCCACATACCGAGCCCAGAATTTCGGTCTGTGGTGTTGGAATACCAGCTACTCCAACCGCTCTAGGACCGCCTCGGCGATGTTCCAGCGATCGCTTCTTCTTCTGATCAACTAGTTTCTGGAACTCGCATCTTCGCTTGTATCGGTAATCTCTTGTCTTAGTCAGTAATGCTATTCTGCATACATATGCATATATGCGTTTAACTTCCAACCAACATGTCACGTGATCGAGCCCCAGGTGTTCCACACTCCGTGGTTCTGTGTGACTGGCTGACGACGGCTAATAAGTCAGAAATGACCATTCCAGTCCCCCTTGTCTTTGTCGACAATGCTATTCCTCCTATATTGTGCGCTGCTGTGCGGCTGCTGGTTGGACTCGAGAAAGAGAGAGTCCTGAGGCACAAAAGAACGATTGAGTTCCGTAAAAAACGATCGGTGAGCGCCCCTCTACCATATATACATGTATTTATACAACAGTTGTGTCACGCAACGGCAGAATATCGGCAAAACATGTGTCCGACTTTTGAGCTAGTACCTATGTCGACAGTAAGATAGTAATAACATTAACATATATGTTAACATATATGTTCGTAACATATATGTTCGTATGTAACATACGTATATAACATATATGTTCGTAACACATATGTTCATATTTAACGTATATGTTCGTAAGTATTGAAAGATAAGCATCCCAAATTAACACCAATTTAAACAAGATGTGTTCTATGGACTAAGAAGCTTTAATGCGCGAATTTCCCACGCTGGTTCTCCGGGCTGTCGTCAGACGCAGATTAATAGCACATGTGGGGACAAAAAATAGTTAACGTCACGAGTGCAGATAAATTCGTGCACTCGTGACGTTGACGGTTTTCTTATTCTCCCATTTGAAATCAGTCTGCTTCTGACGACGACCCGGAGAACCAGCTTTGAAAATTCACGCATATACATAGGCAGAATGACATTGCCGACAAAGAAACCTTGGGCAGCATATATATATATATGGAAGAAGGTAAAGAGATCTCTGGGGAGGATGATTTATTCATCTGACGTTTCACACTCATACTTGAGCGTATCATCGGAGATAGATTAAAAGTGGAAATACAAGGTTTAAATAGGTCTTTCTTACTCACTATTGATAGGTCCATTGTTCTTTCTTCCCGTTGGCCCTCGCTTCCTGCCCAAGTGGTGTCTGACGGCCACGTATGGAGCCGGTAGGTCGATCCTACGGTTGATAGAGTTGGCGTTTGATTTCCAGGCTTCGATTATCTCTCTCGCCATTTTGCTTTCAGCTCAGCCGATTACTTCTGCCCTGTCGAAGCCGGATTGATGGTTATTTTCGAGGCTATGCATAGCAACATGTGATCGTACATCTCTTCGCTTAACAGCTAGAGAATGCTCATGCATGCGCGACCTTAATCGTTTGTCGGTCATGCCACAATAATTGGCCGGACAGTCCACACAGTTGACGCGGTAAACAATTCCTGACGTGTCCTCAGGTGGTAGCCGTCCCTTGGTCTGCATGAGCAAGCGGCGGATAATTACCTCCGGCCGGTGTCCAAGGCCCACGTTGAGTGGTCTGAGCATGCGTTCAGTGGTTTCGGAAACGTCAATTACGTAGGGCAAAGCACGGAAGATTTCAGGTTTTTGTTTTTGTTCACCGTCGGTCTTCGTGTGCCTTTGCTACAGGCATTTGTTTATGAAGCTGCGTGGGTACCCATTGGAGAGAAAGAGACGCCATAGGGATTTACGCTCTCGCAGCTTTTCAGCCTCTGTGCTGCAGTGTGTGTTAATGCGTAGGATGAATGTCCGCACGCAACTGTGTTTATGTGACAAGGGGCGGTAACTGCTGTAATGGAGGGTTTTCGCCGTATCGGTCGCCTTTCGAAAGACACCAGTCTGGAGTGCTCCGTCTTCCTGTCTCGACACCTGGACATCCAGAAAGGGGATTTCTCCGTCCTTTTCTTCCTCCATTGGGAATTGGACTTCAAGGAAAATTGAGTTCAATTTGCTTTTGAACGTTTCTTTCATGTCTCGAGGTAGGATGACAAAGGTGTCATTCCCATAGCGCATCCAGAATTTGAGCATGTAGGACTGAAAGACCCGTATTTCCAGTTCTTGTAGGACCGCCTCAGCTAGGTAGCCGGAGATTGGTGATCCCATCGGAGTTCCCTGGATTTGCTCGTACACCTGGCCATTAAAAGTAAAGTACGTGCTCAAACAGTAGTCCAGTAGCTCCATTATGTGCTTCCTTTCCAGGCGTCTTTCCTCTTCATCGTACCTCTTCTCCAGTAGGTCACTTATGACCCTCGTGGTTAATTCTTTCGGGATGGAGGTGAAAAGAGAGACGACGTCGAAGGACACCATTATTTCGTTGGGGGCTATTTTGACGCCTCGGAGTCTTTCCAGGAAGTGTGCTGGGGATACAGCCGTGTGTTCTGAGCCCTCCGTCAGCTTCTTCAGATGTTTGGTAAGCCATTTAGCCAGACCGTAGGTAGGTGTGCCTTTCAGCGCCACAATTGGCCGTAAGGGAACGTTTGGTTTGCGGATCTTTGGCAGACCATAGAAGCGTGCTATGGCAGCATCTTGCGGTTTCATCTGTCGCCAATCGGTCTCAGGTATTGCCTGTTGGTTCCTCATTAGACTCAGATTTTTGTTGATTTTTGTCACAAGTGTTTTAATTGGGTCGGACTCAATGACTTTGTATGACTGGTTATCGTTGAGTAGCTCCTGAGCTTTCGCTACGTACTCTGACTTGTCCAGGATCACGGTTGCCCGTCCTTTGTTTGCTGGGACAAACACAATTTCTTCGTCCCCCTTTAATTCTTTAAGGGCATTTACCTCGACTGGGGAGATGGTTCGACGTGACCTGTGGGATATGATGAGCGATGCGACTCGTTGGCGAATCGAGTTCTTGGTGTCCTCTGTGGCCTTCGTCTTTGAGAGTGTCGCCTCAAGTGCAGCGATAAAATCCACTGGTTGTGCGTCCTCTGTGTTGTATCCCGATTCGTGCTGAAGCACTTTAATCTGGTCGTCTGTCAGCTGCTTAGATGACAGGTTGTGGACGGAGGATGGCTCAGGTTGTGTGGCATGTGCTTGCTTGCAAAACGAGTAGTCTAAAGCATTTGCTTTCCGTCTGTGCCTGACGACGACTCGGGGAACGGGCGTCAAAAATTTGCACAATAAACTTCCTTTCCCAAAGCACACATTCGACTTCGACATATATATATGAGGAGAAGTGTCAGGAGATGCGGACCCACCTGTACTCTACCTTCGTGGACCTGACGAAAGCCTTCGACACGGTGAATCGTGAAGGACTGTGGAAGATCATGCAGAAATTCGGCTCTCCGGAGTGATTCACTCAGATGGTGCGTCAGCTGCACGACGGCATGATGGCGCGAGTCTCGGACAACGGAGCTGTCTCAGAGGCATTCGCAGTGACCAACGGAGTGAAGCAGGGATGCGTGCTGGCACCAACCCTCTTCAGTCTTATGTTCTCTGCCATGCTGATGGACGCCTACCGCGACGAACGCCCCGGGATCCGCATCGCCTACAGGACGGACGGTCACCTCCTGAATCAACGGCGGATGCACTTCCAATCGCGCGTATCCACAGCCACCGTTCACGAACTCCTCTTCTCCGACGACTGAGTCCTGAACGCCGCCTCGGAAGAGGAGATGCAGCGGAGCATGGACCTGTTCTCCGCCGCTTGTGAGAACTTCGGTCTGGTCATTAACACGCAGAAGACGGTGGTGATGCACCAACCGCCACCCAACTCAGCCACAGCCCCCAACGCGCCGCCACAAATCAGCGTGAATGGAACCCAACTGCAAGTGGTGGAGAACTTCCCGTACCTGGGCAATACCCTCTCCCGCAACACCAAGATCGACGTTGAAGTCGCCAACAGGATCTCGAAAGCCAGTCAAGCCTTCGGTCGCCTCCAAAGCACAGTTTGAAATCGCCACGGTCTTCAGCTGAGCACGAAGCTGAAGATGTACAAGGCCGTCATCCTGCCGACACTACTGTATGGAGCGGAGACTTGGACGGTGTACGCAAAGCAGGCACGTCTTCTGAACCACTTCCACCTCAGTTGTCTCCGTCGCATCCTGAGGCTGAACTGGCAGGATCGAATCCCCGACACTGATGTGCTAGAACGGACAGGAATCCTCAGCATCTACGCCATACTGAGGCAAATGCAGCTGCGCTGGAGCGGCCACCTGGTGCGCATGGACGACGAGCGACTACCCAAACGACTCTTCTACGGAGACGTCGCGACAGGTTCTCGCCGTCAAGGAGGCCAAATTCGCCGTTACAAGGACACCCTGAAGTTCTCCCTGAAACGCCTGCAAATCAACCCTACCAACTGGGAGGAGCTCGCACTCGATCGACCGACCTGGAGGAGGACAGTGAAGACGGGCGCTGCGATATACGAAGCCAACCGCATCGCTGCCGCCAAAGCGAAACGCGAAGCCCGCAAATCACAACTTCGCCCAGTACGCAACGCCGCCGCATAACCGCTTCCAAAGTGTCCTGGATGTCAACGGATATTCCGGGCTAGAATCGGACGTAATGGACATCTTCGGATTAACTGCGACTCTCAAACTGCACCAACCATCGTCCCCCCGCCCACCTCTTCCTCCCCTCCGCCGCCAAATAACTCTGACAATTCTTCTGAACCACCACTTCCATCCTCCTACTCCTCCACTGCTCCCACGACGGCCGCTCAGGCGACTGTCCCGCGCGCAACAACCGACACTACCACTACCTCCCCCGACTCCAGCGATGAGGATCAGGACTACACCTGCCCTTACTGCGACCGCACCTTCACCTCACACATCGGCCTGGTCGGTCACTTGCGAATCCATCGCACAGAGACTGACGAACCAGTGCCTGAAGCACCAACCTACACCCGCCGCACTTGCCTTTACTGCCCACACTGCCCTCGCACCTTCAGGCATCGCATGGGCCTTTTCGGCCACATGCCCATCCACGAGAGCGGCCTTGACCGCACTCCCGACACACCCACCACATCCAACACATCCACCGTGCACACCCCCACCCTCGCTTTATCCGTCTGCGCCACCACCACCGCCACCACCGCCTCCTCTGTAGCTGACATTGACACCGCCGACTTCTCATACCCACACTGTCCATGCACATTCACCTCACGCATCGGCCTGGTCGGTCACTTGCGAATCCATCGCACAGAGACTGGCGAACCAGTGCCTGGAACACCCACCTATACCCACCAAGCTCGTCTTAACTGCCCACAGTGCCCTCGCACTTTCAGGCATCGCATGGACCTATTCGGCCACATGCGCATCCACGACGGCCTGCGGTAGACAACCGCCGGTCACACCACACATTCACTCACTCCATACCTCCTCCATCACCACTACCATCACCCCACCAGAAATCAACACTCACACACCTCATGCACCCAACTGCCACCTCCCACGCAAGTGGGAAGTCCGCATCTCGACTCGGCCCCCATGCGGCTTCGGCTGCACGGGTGACTTGAGTCCGAGACTATCCCGACACGTCAAGCGTCGTGGATAGGAAGGTTGCTGATTGACGCCCGTTCTCGGTTCACGCAGTTCGTCGCGTTGTGTGTGTGTGTTTTGTGTGGAGTGGTGGACTGGTGGGCTGGGGACGGGCTGAAACAGCACCTTCCACGGCACTCTCACGCAAGTGAGAGACACGCCGTTGAACCCCCGTTGTGTGAAATCGTGGTGTTGTGTGTATGGGGGGCCAGGTCGTGCCGTGGCGCGCGAAGTCATGGTCAGTCGACCATGACAGCCACCGCGCCCATTCCCCACTCCAGTCTGCTGACCGGCTCGGACAGCGGCTGGGGTGTGGGAGTGGGAAGGGAGAGTGAGGTCGACGACTCAGCGCACTTTCTCCTCACTATAAACAATCTGACGCGCTTGAAGCTATCACGGTGCGCTAAAAGCCGTGGCTTGGAAGGTTGCCAACTGACGGGGTAACTTGGACCTCCTCCTTGACGGGAGGCGGTCTGAGAGTCAGGCTGCAATGGCTCCTTTTTAATGTGGCCTTTATGGCACTCCCATCACAGTGTGGGATCCGAGCCAGGCGTTGGCGGCACGCCCAGGTGCGGCTTCGGCCGTGCCAGTCTCCAAATCTCTGTTGTGTTGGTTGAAATCCTGGTCATTTGTTGTGTGGACCAGGGGGTGTGGTGGAATGCCAAGGTGAGGATCCGTCCGAGCCATCCACCTGCGGCCTCCCTCGTCTCCGGTCTTCTTGACTCTGTCTTGACACCGGGCTCGGGCGAGGGAGGAGAAGAGAGTGTAGGTAGATGCTACGCAAGTCTACTGGCACTATAAACCCCTGCGTAAGTCACCGTCCCTGCTCTCATCTGCTGTGGGGCACACGGTGGACATCATTGAAACCGATGGTCGAACTGTCATATGTATATGAAAGGATCAAACCTAGACCGTCTCACTATGGAACCCCTCTGTTAACGACCGCTCACTCTGACTCCTCATTACCTATATATACACGCCGAAATCTTCCTGTAATAAAGTCAGAATTGTTTAAGCAGCCTATCAGTTTTGGGTAATTTTCTCCACCAGTTAACGGAAAAGGCATGAAGGACACATCGGCCTCTTGTGGTTCTCTGAGGTTCTTTGTCCCCTTCCTTGTGTGCCTAGGGGCGGCTCTGACCGCGCCAATCACCTTCGCCCTCTTGACTTGGCCATGATATCAGGCCAACGTGGGAAGGAAGAGTGAGTGCGGTGGGTGCGCAGGAAATTCACTGTCAAGCACAATTCGCCGTCCCTGCTCTCATGCTGTTGTGGAGTAGGCGGTATATATCGTCGAAATCGATGATCGAATGGTCACTCAGGCAGGCCCCCCACAGTCTTTGTCGATGTTTCGAAGATCTGGTCAGTTGGTCGAAGAGTTAATTCGAACTACTGCGGATAGATCATCCGTACCAGACAACTTAGCGAGCTGTAGCTATCTCACAATTTTCCTCACTGCCCTATTCATGACTGCCATTGAGTTAACTGTGCTTCGGGGTGCGAGCACCCATCGAAAACAGGCTCCTTTATACAGACGGCGTTAAACAGCGAGTTAGGAAGTTGTTTTTTCTCGGATCGTTAGTTAGGTTGTTTCCTTGATCATATGTAAGACGGGAGATGGGTGTGGATTTCGCTTTGCCTTGCCCATGAAAACAAACGATTTTCCTGATAGGATGAGACTCATTTGACTATTACTGACTAAAAGGCCATACGTTCCTTTCTTCTGGGTTTTCGACGAAAATTTCGTCGATTTCTCAGATTATGAACATTGGATTTGCTTTTTAGGAGTCTCAATTTCATCTTGAAATTTATCTTTACTCTTTATGTGACCAATTAAAGTCGAGAGACGACGCGCGATCCCCTCCTAAATGTGCAAATGTTCTCTGTCAAATACTGAGTCGAGATGCTGTAGACGAACAAATCGGCGTTGGCACCAGACTTCAAGAAATTCTCCTAAATCGGTTAAATGCTCGGATGGTGGAAATCTGGCACGACTCCTCCTAGGGGGACAACAGGGTTTCACTATATTCCCTTCAAATGACTTTGCTGTGGCCCTACCCCGAGCGCCTGTCCCAACGCTGGGTCTCTCGCGAGTGGCTGCACGTGCGCACCAGGACTCGACTCTCCAACTGACCAATCAGATTCAAGGCCGAGTCAGACGTGTCCTGGTTTAAGACGCCTTGACGCATTCCCCCACGCACCTGGGACGCCACTCACCCGGCGCGGGGCGTGCCCTCGTCCGGCTGCCAACTCCTTCTCCAGTTATTCTGTTCTCTGCCACACATCAGGGGCGTTTCAGAAGCGACCGAGCGCATTGCTGAGCAGTTAGGTGTTAGAATTGCACACCGCCCCAAAGCCACAATGCGCAATAGGGTCATGAAAATCAAAGACCGGTTAAAGCCTGAAGAGAAACCTGGAGTAGTGTATCGCATTCGGCGTCAAAATTGTCCATGTAACTACACCGGTCAGACTGGGCGCATGCTCGGATCGCGCATACACGAACATAAGCTGGCTGTGCGACGAGGCGACGTATTATCACAAGTGACCGACCACACCTACGAAATGGGCCACGAGTTTGACGTCGCAGGCACCAAAATAGTCGCCCACGCCGGAAACAAGACAGGTCGATAATTAATTGAAGCCTGGGCCTCGGATGAGAACTCGGTCAATTGGTTTATCGATCTGGCGCCGGCGTGCAGAGCTCTGCGTAGTCACTTCCAGCCTTGCGCCGTCGGTCGATGATTGGCCTACATTCCTTATAACTGTGGCTTGTTTTGTTGCTGCTACTATCTCTGACGATGGACTCCTGTACGAATATGAAAGCTCAGGACAATAAACAAAGTGTTCCGGTGCTCGACTCTTCTTCTTCACTTATGTTCAATATGTATTATCATCCCCACTGGCGTCCGCCTTCTCTTTCCATTCGGGGCTGGGCCTGAAGGCTGTGGTAGCCAGTGTCTCTCACTCCCGGCTTAGGCTGTTACGATAACTTTTCATTTTGGGGTAGTCTTACTTTCGCGCAGTTTTCGGCCGTCCAGATTTTTCGTTCAAAAAATGTCTTTACTCCCAAACAAGAACGCAAAGATCGTTTAGGGACGTACATATGAGAAATCAAGTCGGAAATATTGCTAATGGTGAGGTTCAAACAGTCTGACGGTAACAATCAGGAGAAGGCCCCCAGGTATCTGTCACCTAGAAAGAATGCCTACTATAGGTTTTAGCCCGACACAATTGTTGTTTCATCTGACCTGCAGTCGGTATGCTGCTTCATCTACACTAGCACAGCCTCAAACAGTTGAGAAAGGATCGCTGTAGACGGACCCATACTTTATTGACCTTCATCTCAGCTCATACAACTGAGGAGCGACCGCCGTAGTCGGTATGCTGTTTCACCTAGGCAACCGCACCCTCAG